TAAATTACAAGAAACAAATGAATTTAACCCACTTTCAAGTATAGAGCCTGATGAGCATGAGGAAAAAGAACCACGGCTTGTTCCACACAAGGTCCAACATCGTTCAACCGTCCTTCGGCTAGAAACAGCTCAGCCAGAGCCATCCACATATTCGCCTAAACAAGGCAACAAAACTTCGCTGGAATAAGAACAGAGAGTTCAACGGCGGAGACCAGTTCTCGCCAGCTCTCCACACCTTTATATGATGACAACAGTATACCTGAGCTCTAAATCGAGACCAAGCGGCACCAGTACTGGCAGCTCCACCACTTTCGCTGGATGTCGAATGACCACCAGCCTCAGAACCCGGCACACCGCTGTCGACTACTGTAACAAAATAGAAAAAAGATATTCATCATAAAAAAATCATCATAGAGAAAACAAAATGGGCTAAAAAAATATAAAACCAAAATCTTCGAAACCACAACCACTCGAAACCTACCAGAAACTGCAATGTCAAGCCCTGATTGACTGCTGGCAGCATTTTGGTTTAGCATCTGGTTTGATATACCTATTCCTAATGGAGTAGCAAAAATTGGCGTTGATGAGGACAACTCTCGTCCAACCGAAGGTGTCCCTAGAAAGATAAAAATCAAAAAGCAAAAAATGGCCCCCATTGGCTCGAGGACCAATTCTCGCACGTCCAAAAAACTTACCCGCTTTCAAACTTGCAGCATCCTTCAGCATACTTTGGCCATCTGTTGCACTCAGTGTTGATTGTACTCGCTCATCTTCTATATAGCAATCTCTCTTGCGCCAGAAATCCAACAGATGTGTGCATGTGTCCAGCGATTCGTCAATTCGACCTTAGACCAAGCCATCTTTGAGAAAACGGAATAATAAAAATGACAGAAACCTACCAAATCTCGTTTCAATATGTAACCGTAGGACAAGCAAACCATAATGTGTTGGAAAATCTTTCATTGCATTCGCGACCAATTCCAACGCGCCCTGAATAATCAAACATGTAAATCGCCACCAAAATAAAAAAA